ATTTAAATAGCTCACATAGTGCTCACTTTTTACTCCCTAAACGCTCGGAATTTTCTAATTTTTTACGACCACATGGCTCCCCCTCATGCCGGTTTTCGGAACCTTCTCATTCAAATTGGCTCATCTCGGCTAACGATTGGCCGGCCAATTATTCGCCGAAAATGAGCCGACTTCCCAAGCTATGCGACGATAAACCGACGAACATTTTTGACAGGATTTTCCCTTGTCCCTCTCTTGCGTTCGGGTCAGCAGTTCAGGGCGGGCCATAAATATTCATGCGGAATCGAAGTAATGTATTGCCTCTACTATTAACTATTCATGGAATCAATCGAATCTCAGCAATACACAAGGGCTCCAAGTAACAACCCATAAAATATGTTCAACGCGTCCCAGTTCTTCTTGACGGCAACCTGGAGTCCTCAATTCAGTCAGTCGATCGCACCGGAGGGACACGGTCTCACTCCTCTTTCGGCACGAACCTTAACCGGTTCAGGTCGCTGGATTTCGTTTATGAGCGATTGCTTCCAGGAAACTTCGCATGCAGCTATCGGTTTGGTTGCGGTCAGAGTTTTATGGGGGTCATTCGTATTCTTTGACCATTTCTGGCTCATGGTCAGCCAGACAATTTACTGAACCTCAAGCCATTTCTGGGCGGAGAAGGATTTATGCTAAAACATTCAAGGTTGACCGCCAAAGAGACACTCACATAGAGATATTAAACTCTTTTTTCTTTGCTGTTTTTAGGCGTACGGAATTAGAAAAGTTACGAGTGGTATGAATATTTATGGCCACCCTGTCTTAATAAGAGGGAAGAAGTTCCAACGATCCCCATCTCCTTACTTAAGGAGAAATCCCCTTCTAATTTTATCCCCTCCCCGATCAACAAACTTCGTGGTTATTCCTTTCCAGAGAAATATGCTGATTGCGAATATACAAGGTGGGCTAAAAAAAAAAAAAAACAAAAAAAAACAAAGATTTCATATTTGGTGAGTTGTCACTCTGATTTTAGGCTGCCGATTCGGATGAAATTTGGTAGGCACATAGGATGACTCAATTGGAGTTTGCGTGCCGAGTTTTAAATCAAAATTCCAAAAACAATGAGATTGGCATATAATTTACTTTTCAACGCCAAAAAGTGTTCATTTTTTCTTTCAACTTAAAATTTCTCGCAACAGACAAAAACAAACAGTAAAATCAAAATGTGCAAATGCCCTGAACGAAAGCACACAATTTGGTTTCGGCAGGTTCATTTCCTCTGAAAAGGTGCTGAATTCGCCCACCATCCCGTCGAACCCAAGCCCAAGCCCAGGTGAATGGCTCGGCGAAGGTCTTGAAGAATCTCTCGGTCGAGAAACCTTCGAGGCGGTGCCTCCCAATCTTCCTCCTTAGCGTCATGCAGGAATGGAAGGTCGGGGATTCGGTCCTCCTTTTCGTCGCGGCCTCAAGTTCACACCGATTTTTTCAGCAGCACTTACAATAGATACATTAAAAAAAAAGAAGCCTAAGCTGGTTCACCGCATATTATCCGGACCTTCAAAATTTCTAAAAATTTGAACATTTTCTTCTCTTGTGTTTCGGGAGAAAATGCATTGTCGAAAATGCGCAACATTATTGACAAATATCTTGCTCTTATTAAAAACTTGCGACTTGAGTGAATTTCCAAGCGAAAATTGTTCAAGGAGTGGATATGTCAATAAGTCATCCGAAAATTTGATGAATTTGGTGGGAAAATTGCAGGTATAATAAAAATAAAAAAAATAACACTTAATCTTTGTGATCTAAAGTAAATTAAATACCATTCTCGCCGTTTTTGGCATTTTGATCCTAAACTCTGCACAGAACCCTAATTGAGTCACCCTATATGTCTGCCAAATTTCACCATCATCGGAATTTTGCAATCATATTGACAAGTAAAAAAAATGGCAGTTTTGTTTTTTTTTTTGGAGCGAACCCTGTATATTCAGGCGAATTTCCCTTTTCAGGTTCAACTCACCTTAGTAGCGCTTCAGAGCGTGGTATTCTACACTCTTAGAAATGAGGGAGCGATCTCCTCCGAGGGAGCGAAACCGGAGTTGGCGATTTTCCTCCCCAAAAACGAGGAAGGGCAGCTGCTCACCTTTCCCTTTCCTGGGAAAAATCACCAATTTCTTTCTACTAGTTTGAAAAGTGCTCTCTCCCTCCTCCTTTTCGCGCTATTAAAAAATGTATGGATTCTGCGAGAGAGAAGTTATCGATCGTACTTCCTCATCTTTCAGAAGCAAAATCGCTCACTCTTTTCTAAGAAAGTATAAGTATGCACACAGAGCGCTTTGTCGCAGGCAACATACCTTGTATATAAATCGCGTGTCATGGCGCTTTTTTTCGCGGCGCGTTGTGTGTTTGCATACGCTTATGTTAATCTTTGTCTGCTCTAAAAATGTAACAAGTTGCTCCTAGATGGTGTGCGATGCATGCAGTCGACGCTCAATATAACGAACCCCTGTATAAAGAGTTTTCTCGATTACGATTTTTTTTCCAAGTTCCCGGCCGTTCGCCCATTCACACGCACGTCGAAAGTTTCTCCATAACGAAGTTTCGTAAGGCGAATCGTTCGGTTTTACGAAAGGACTTTTTCGTCCGAAGGAAGAAAACCGTTCCGTATCACGAAGTTGAAGTCCGCTGCCTGAACCTCTTTCTTCCGCGCATTCCCGATAAAATCCCATCATGTATCTAAATTTATCCCGTCCCACGCGCTCGTTCGAGGGCTTCGATAATCTCCGGCAATTTTCCGGTCAACGGGCAGATCGCCGAGCCTGAAAATATTTCAAAATATCGAGAGATCTACGTGCCACGGCTCGAAGAATCGACCAGGAAAAAGCGCCGATCGTTTTTGGGACTTGGTTTCCGATGAATCGACGGCGTCTGCGACTCGTCCGATTTCGATCGCACCACACACTAAGACGCACTTCTGTGCATGTCCATTCGTGGACATACACGAATTTTCGAAGCCGTATTTTTGCAAAACGACACGAGCTCAGACCTTCGCGTCTTTTCACAAATTGACGACTCCATCCTTTGGCAAGAAATGACATTTCGTCGAAGAGGCCTCTTTCTTTCAGCGAAACGTGGGGAAGCCCCTATAACGAATTTTCCTCAAAGCGACATTTTTCGCCCCGTCCCTTCGAGTTCGTCTTATCGAGCGTCGACAGCATCAGAATGCGACCGAAACTCTACCGCATTCGGGAGCAGCACGGAACTTACGAAAGCAACGTTGCAACGCGCGAAATGTTGCGGCCGGTCAGGCCAAAGACCCGAAAGAGTTAAACACGGCGGACTCTCATCTTCGAAGAGTGGTAATCTTACGATGGAGAAAATTCTACGAGCTATCGCTATAGGTTGAAAAATGAAAAATCTCCTAGCGTGTGTGAAATCTGAGAAGAGACACCTCAAACAATGAGCACCGAAGCGCGTTCGTGATTGCTCAGGGTGCTTCAAACCGTATGGAAACCCGAGAAGGCACCTTCCGCATTTGCAGACGTCGCGTTTTCTTCCTTTAAAATGGGAACTCGTGTCGGGATGAAATGTCGGGTTAAAATGGGATGTCGTGGAAGAGAGCATCTATTCCTGTGGAGTCACTCCTTTAAATTCTTTTCTGGAAGATTGCCTAACGGAGGGCACTTGAACGAGATAACGACCGCCTGAAGCATTTTTTTCGATGATGCACGAAAGGATTATTAGAAATGCGTGCTTGGGAGAGGAATTCCTAGCTTTCCTCGTCGTCCATGACGATTCTTTCAAAGGGAATCCAGGAAAATGATATGCGATGGAAATCGATGGATCTGATCTGTTGGAACCGGCTATCTTTCCGATGCGGTACGTTACAAAGTTGGAGCACTTGGAGTACTTGCAAGGTGACTTCGCTCGGGATGACGATCGTCGGAGATGAAGCGATGGACACCGTTGCACCAAATCCTCTTGGATTTCTTACGAGGGGAGGATTCGAACTTTTTCGATTACCGTTCCTCTCGAAATAAATGTAAGCGATGCAAGTTATTGGCCAGCCACAGCTTTGCATTTTACTTGAAAAAAAAATGGAGAGCTTGAAGGATCTCAACGCCCTTTCGTGACTCATGATTCGCTGAAAATGAGGCACTGTTGCACTTCTTCACCATATCGACCGAGAAAGAAACGATGCAAGTATTTTCTGCAATGCACCTGCTATGTCATTTGCATGCCCACCACAGGTGGAAGTGGGGCGGCTGCTCAACCTGTTTTTTTTTTTTGGGGGGGGGGGGGGGGGGGGTCCCCCAAGGAGTCTAAAGAAAAGTAAAAAGGAATGGAAAAGAGGGAATTTATTTTACTGGAGTTCTTCCTTTCTGCAGTACCGCTACAAAACGACGAAGCCGAACGAGAACGAAGAGGGAGAAGAAAAAGTGGGATCCCGTTCATGGCATCAGAATAGGGATGTAACCAAGGAGATGAACGCCCCCTCAGAAGGGACAAGAATAGGCACATGTAAGGGGGCCCCCTAGAATTTCGAAGCATGTAAGTGTTTCTCTTGCCAAGTCAGCGACTTGCGACGGGCTAAGAAGATTAGATGCATCCGAGCTTCAAATGCAGTGGCGTACCGCCCGATGTCAAATTGGGTTTTGCTCGACACCCCCGCTCTCCTTCTCGCTTCTCAGGCGTGAGAAGCTCGTCGTAACCTCGTTTCACATCCCCTCAAAATAGATATTATGGTGACGCTGCAGTATTTGATCAGGACGCAGGGTGGATACGTGTCGTCGGGGTGGAGCTGCACGAGCCGGCAAAAAGCTCTGGGCACGCTACTGCATGCTCTATGTTCAGGCACCTGCGTGATTTCCTCGCATCGATCGGAAGGTCCTACCCAGATCATGGGCCTTCGAAGGAGTCGAGGCGTGCAGTTATACGGCCGTACTGTATTCAATGTGCACTGTCGTCTCACCGCAGCCCGTTCCGCGTGTGCATCACCATCTAATCGAGGAAAACCATGCCGATAGACTTATACTACATGCTGTCCAACCCGCCCTGCCGGAGTGTCATGCTTCTGGCCAAGGATTTGGGCGTGGAACTCAACCTGAAGCTAACCGACCTCAACGTAGGAGCTAACCGCACCCCCGAGTTCCTCAAGGTGAGTCAGTAGGCGAATGCATTCGAAGCCATAAACTTACGGGCATAGAAACCAGGCAAAAGTTGCAGAGCCGTTCTAAATCGGTTCAGTTCGACTCGCTCGAATAAAGAGAATCGTCTTCTTGCATCGAGAAATTCGCGAAATCCGTTCCGTGGAACGAGAAGCTAGGCACGAGTGCTGAGACATCTTTTAACGGTCCATTAACCTATTGAGCGGTGAGTTTTTTACTTCTAACTGGCCATGCCCCAAAGTGTGAGTTGTTTTGCGGATGGGTTCTAGCTCAGAATTTTTTACTTTTATGAACATAAACAGTTTTAACCTTGGTGTATGTCGAAATAACCTTAATTCAACATTAGTAATCTTGGGTAATCAGTAGTGCTTTAGGGTGTGGTATTTTTATTATAAGACAATAATGAAATGTTAGAAATATAACGTGATAATTAATTAATATTTAAAAAAAAAAACATTTTTACTTCTTAGACATGAGAAATAGATAGAAAAACAAAAAGTAAACGGAAGTAGCTTTTCACCAACCAGATTCCTTCTTCCCATGTGTGAAGCGGCATCTTATTATATCTTCAAATGAAAGTAAATTACCGTATAATTAAATTACATTCCTAAAATTTAAGTTTTATTCTATACATATGTATCGTGTTTTTCACTACTCTACAGTAGGAAATTGCTGTAACCATCTGAATGTCTATGCATAAGAAACTGCCTCCCCTGCCCCCTTCGCCCCCCCCCCCCTCCCCCCCCGCTGATAACACGAAATTGAAGAAAAGTTCCGAGACGGAATTGATAAATATAAAAGAGGTGAAATACGAAAGAAGTAATTTATTTAACACCCTTTTCCTTCTCATTTCCTGCGAGGGAATTTCTCAAGTAATGCCTCTTGGTATAAACCGCTCCTCGTCCACCGACACCTTACACCAGAGACGATTTGTCATTAGTTTATTGTCAGTTCCAGGGCTTCCCAGCAGAGCCGTTTCTAGGGGCGGGCGAAGCGGGCGATCACCCGGGGCGCCAGCGGGGTAAAGGGGGAGGGGGGGGGGGGGGGGGGGTGGGGGGGGGGGGGGTATCAGCGGGGGGGGAGGGGGGGGGGGGGCGCAGGAGGGGTAAAGGGGGGAGGGGGGGCGCCATTGGAACTTCTTGCCCTGGGCGCCAACACGCCTAGAAACGGCCCTGCTTCCCAGGTTAGTCACTGAAAATCGAGAGCACAGCTCCATCCGCTTAATTAATGGAATGGGCATCTGTCAGTGAGAGAGTCGCACTGAAAACCCTCTCTCACGAATCACCGCAAAGTTAGTATTTAATTTTTTTCTCTGTTGCTTACTGTACTAGTTTGAAGATGGCAGGACCGAATAAGGCGAGATGTATTCAGGAAGCTCCAAGTTTAAGCTCAAACTGACCGCATCTGTAAAAAATGTGGCAATTTGAATTCGAAGATGCAGGACGTACCGGTACGGCCATACCGCTCGATGGGCTAACCCGTTGCAGACCGGGTGTGCTGAAGCGATATCATCCCCAGTTCCCGAACGTTTTTCAGTGACGCTAGAGCAGAATGCCGGCATGCACTTAATAAAGACGATCAAAGCAACAAAAAGATAAATATGCAGATTAAATTGGATCTAAAGAAACCTTACATATCTGTGGCATGCACAATAAACATTACAGACCACGAAGCACAAGGAAAAGACTGCAGATGGCAAGAGTTTACACGCGGACACGAAACACGAAGATTCTCGTGTCCCGTTCTCAACGCCAGACTGGCGAAACACGACAATTCTCGTGATCCGCACGGTGTTAGGAATCCATGGGCTCCTATGGGAGAAAGAGAGCTCTTTAGAGTGAAGGCCCACTCATCTCGCCTGAATGAGGTTCTTTCTTCACTTGTAGCTTTTAGATGCCTCGATTGTTTCGACTCGCGTGCTTTTTCATCACTTTTCGCAATATTGAAGGATGGGTTTCCATGTTTCTGCAGATGAATCCACATTACACGATCCCAACGATGGACGACGACGGATACATCCTCCACGAAAGGTAATCCTCATGTTTACGCGGTATGAAATCCCAAGTTTCCACCGAATTCATTTTCTTTGCTCACTGAAAATGTATCGCCGTTCGAACAGCAAAGCCATCCTGCGCTACCTCAACAACAAGTATGCCAAAGACGACGACTTGTACCCTAAGGACCTGAAGGAGCGTGGAATGGTGGATCAAAGACTGGATTTCGACTGCTGCTCCTTCTATCCGGCCCTCCTCGACTGTGTCGTACGCCAATATTCAAATATTTCAAAATTCGCGCAAAGTCTAATTCATCAGACTTGGTTCTTCATCCTCTTGTCGAGAAGAGAAACGATAACCCTTGCTTTCTATTCCACATGCGATCTATCGCAGCTGGCTTCTCTTCAAGAGAGTAGCTCGTAATTATACTATTAACCCTTCAAAGCTCATCAATGCTTATAAACATGTCCACGACGGCAAGAAATTTATGGGGCAGACTCGAGAGAGATCTTGGATCGTTTCAAGCGTCCCTTCCGGACAATATTGGAAACCTGCCAAGCCTGATATACTTGTTATGAAGAAGAAAGACACCATCAAGATTTCCGATTATCTTTGACAACAGGATATACGTGGTATTGCGCATTAAATGCACTCCCACCAAGAGTATCGATAGCTGTCAGAACAGGAAGTTTCATTTAAGTTTAAATGATGACACCCTGTAAGTGATTATTATCATTCACATCTAAATTCGATTTTAAGTTCAATATTTATTGAAACAATTTTTTTGGAGAATTGATCTACCTTACCGAAAAATACCGGGTCAGTTATCGCCAAGTTTTATTTTATCTTCCAATCTATCCTGCGTTTTTATGTTCTGGAACATCTATACATTGGTAGGTAAGAGTCCTATCAACAATTCTTTTTTTTTTATCCTTTGGAGCATTAAAAAAGGGTGGCTTTCCTCTTTAAGACGTAAATCTGAAAGACATCGGTGCATAGTGCGGCCACATAGCGGAAGATGAAATACGCACTAGTTTGTTCTTCCTCTTCTCTACTAGAAGCCCATATTTCTCGGCTTGACGAAGACCGTGAGCGAGGAGAACAAGGAGAGAGTTAAGGAGGTACTGGGATTACTGGACAAGTTCATCGAGACATCTGGAGGATACGCGGCCGGGAACCGACTCACACTAGCTGACTACGCCTTCGTTGCCGTCGTCTCCTCCTTCGAGGTTAGCGAACAACGGAGCCTCACTGTTCCATGTGCATCACTGAATGTCCCAAGAAGTTGCAGGTCTCAGGAAAAAAATCGTCCACCTGTATAATGAACGCGTAAATACTCGGAGTTGAGAGGTTTCTTGCCTCCGACCGAATCCCAGAAGGGGGTGAATCCAACCCTGGCGCCATCTCTTCGGCGCCGACAGGCGACTCTCCTGCTTTACGAGGGAGTGTACGTGGTATATCCCTGAATTCAGGGTGACACACACGCCACTCCATGTGTCACGTCTATTAGATATGGATATGAGGTAAAACACTCGGTGATGCCGAGTGTTTTACCTCATATCCATATCTAGCCGGACCTGCCAGTGACAGATCATGTTGGAGCTAGTACAACATAGGTAGAACTGATGTCATTCTTGGAAGTGAACGCTGTTTCTAACTAGTGATGGATCATATGGTCTCAGTTCCCTCGCGGCAGATAAAGTTGCACGGGGGCATCCAACAATACCTCAGCGTCCTTACTCAAACATGATCTATCACTGTGTGTTTTACCTCAGTACACCTTAAGGATCACTCGTGCATGTCACAGACCTAATCAACTTGCAGGTTCCCGCGTGAGGCCTCCAACTTCTGACCCTAACCTTGCCCGAGGGAAAGCGATATTGGCCTGTGCAATGCAGGCAATCCCTTCTTCTGTGTCCCATAATTGAAAAACATTGCCTTAAGTGTCTAGTCCTTATGTCTAGTCTTTTTTTAAATGAAAAAAGTGCATTATTCCAAAGATCCTAGTTAATTTACTTGGATAGGCCACCAATCATACAATCCACCCAAGAAGGATAAAGGAGATAGGTCGCATAAATGAATCTCAACATTATCCATGAGGTGATTGGTCTTCTTAAAATCTGTGAAGTTGATCTGTCATCGCGACAGGTCCATCGAGTCAGCTCAGTTGCTTGACTATCTTCCTTTGAGGCATCTGGCAGAGTGGATGTGTTATTTGGAGGTTCGTGCGTGAATAAGTGATTCAAGCGACGAATCATTCCGTTCTGCGATCCTAAACGAGCTTTACTGTTAGATTCTTGCTTTATAATTATTAATAATAAAATCACATAACCGCTCTAAAAAGTGGACAAGTCAAGAAGTGAGAATATACAGTATACCCATTGAGATCATTAAGTGTTGGTGTGATAATGTGTTATTTTATGACAGGTAATGGGGCTGGGAGACTTGAGCAAATTCAAGAACATCGAGTCGTGGATGGAGAAATGCAAGAAGGAGATGAAGGGCTTCGAGGAGATCAACGCTGTTGGGTCGCAGGAATTGGCCGAGTCCCTCGAGAGCAAACTCGCGGACGCCAGTGATATATGACATTGAAATCCACCAATAGGATCTGAATAAATCTTACTGAGTAATTCTTTAATTTGTTTTTATTCAACGTATTGCGATCGCATGGTTGTCCGCGATGCACCCAGCGTCTCTTAGCGGTACCTGCAACGTGAAATTGCTCCAAAAATACAAATTCATAGCGACTCTACAGAACTTGCTTGCATACGTGAGGACAAATTTTCACCGCTGAGAACCTTTCGCGAGGTCGTCAAGACGCAATCGGAAAGTAGTGGGCCTTCGATAAATTCGCAATGACAATTGATTGCCAGCAACCGAATTTAACCGTGATTGCTCCTAGCAACGCTGGACGATCGAGAAGACGCAAATAGAAATAGCTCTAGTTTCCCGGCAATGGTCGACGACACAAATGAGTAAGAGCCAATGGGATAGGTACTGGGTAGCCATTAAAAAAAAATTACACTTTCGAAGTTCAATATCTTCGGAACGGAAAGGCATGGGACAGTGAAACTTTAGGGGGATACTCAAGGGTTCATGGGATTTTATTTGAGACTGCGAAAAATAAAAATAATTTTTTTTCTTCTCATATTTGCACTCTTGGCAGTATTGAACCACTACTGAAAGTATGTAATAATTATCGGTCATAGATAGAAAAGGCATGACTTAGACTGAGAAGCAAGAGAGGCGAGCTAATAAAGCTTTTCTACACCAACAAGTGTAATGGTGTTGTTGCTTTACGAAAATACCGCACAGCACACAACCTGCGTTGGGGGCCCTGCTCGAGACAAGCTCTGATGAATCTGATCGCCAAGTTCGAGAAGGTGGGATGTGTTTGCAACAAGCCGCATAGAGGCAGGCCGTGAACCCCCGTAGATGTTGCCGCTGAAATCAGATAGATGAAGAGCCTGCCACAAGTGCACATGGAACGAACAAATATTTGGACACGTTCTTGGGCATGTTTCAGCTTGTACGGAAACATTTGTAGAGTTTGCCTTAGAACCTTGCGCACGGTTGAATGGGGAAGATCCAGAAGGCGGGCGACGGTACGACTGCTGCTCGTTCCATGTGCACTTGTGTTAGGCTCCTTGTCAATCGCACCTGATCTAATTTTCCGAATATCAATTATTCACTGGCTCTCGCTATATGTTTCTTTACATCGGCTCAATACAACTGGGAATATAAGATGCTTTGAGCAAGAAAGTTTTCAAGCCCATAATCCTATTCGAGAAGTTCATGAAGGAGGAAGCGCATTAAGGTGTTGGCGCCCTTTCCTTCCGTCTCGGAGAGAAGAGGGGTCGATTTTGCCACAATACTACAGTACTGAGCACGACCTTGGTTTCGAGGTCTTAACCTTTCCGAGTACTGCAAATCTGCAGTACTCAGAAGTACAAATTCGTCGAGGGATCCGGTTATTGCTGTGCAGACATGAACATGGTATTCTTTGTTTCCATGATGGTTTTACAATCTGGTACGTCAATGGTTTCATAGTAGCTTTCCATGCTGCAAAACCTGTGGCTGACGTGACTACCGCAATTCGTACCGCAATTTTGTTCCTGTGATTTGCTTCAACCAGAGATTTGATTAGAAGGATGGGGAACGCATGTATCAGTTGATGCAGAATCTGGTGCCTTGCTGTTACTTTAACTTGATAGAGCATTTCCTTTTATCTGATAGAAAAGGTTCTTAAGGTCTTGATCTCTTGCTCATTGTGGGAGTCAGAGTTCAAAGACGCGAATTGAACATTTTTTTTACACAGTCACAGCCTTTTGAATGGAGTACGCGGAGCTTTCATTCCATTCAGTTTTGCCGTGCAAATCGGTAAGAGAAAGCAAGAAAGAAGCTCAAAAAGCTAAAAAAGTAGGAAAAAAATTCAATCCATCAAGGCAAGTAAGCCTATAAGCCAAGATTGAAGAAGAGCATGTTCATGTCCTTCGCACAGATGAAAACTGCTCCAGATGAATCCTCTTCGTGCGATCCGGTTGACAAGTACGATTTCGTCCGCTTTGAAACGCACGGTATGCAATGCTGGTGACTAATCAATTAGGGATCATTGCAAACTGTTGGAAGTTTGGAAATTCATTCCACAGAACGATAACTGGACTGTAGAGGCTCGCTCCATGAGTTTTGAAACACAATCAAGCAGTTCACTAATTTAGATCATATGTGAACGTCTTTCCAAAGCTTTCCCCCTTATACACGTACTGTATCTCGAGACTGTCCGCATGCACCCAAGGGTACTGGCGACGACAGCGGAAAGAAGCATTCTCGGAGAAGACCTTGACAACAACCTGACATGGAAGCAATCAGAGGATCCTTGGGGCTTGAAAATCTCTTCCTATGGAGATCCTCCTCGACTTCGGCGAGAATAAAATCATGGTCGAGAGGGAAGACTGGATTCAGGAGCAAGAAGGGAGTGGTCTCAGCAAAAGAGTAACTCCACGCATTTTGGTGGGGAAGAAGATGCATCGCAGAGCAGATCTTTGCTCTTAATGGCCGCAGAGAGAATTCCAGGCAGACTGGGATTACTTCTAGTCGGGGAACTGTGGCAATATGTCCAGTTTTTTTTGTTTGTTATTCGACTCTCCTGGAATAGCCGACCTTCCGTGGTGGATGTTCGCCTGGGAAGAGCCAAACTGTGGAATGGCGCTTGCCGTGCCGAGGGGATCAAACTCGAAGATCCAGAATTCTACGGTAGAATACGATATCGCAGACATGATGGCCGATGACCCATAAAAAACCGGCCGAATCTATCCTGGCATCGGCGTTTACGCATCTTGTGCTCTGTTCTCCATGTTTCACCCAAAATACTGTCACTTCACACAAGTGAATCTGAATCTCTAGCTATCTGAACTCCATCGATATTGGAAACAATAACGTATTTGAATTGGGGATTTCTTGCTATGGACAGATTGGAAATTAATAACGCAGAAGTTCTTTCGATCTGGGTCGAAACAACGATTAGGACAGCCAACCTCGACGATCGCCTCTTGTTGCTGATGGCAAACGACTGATTTTATGAACACACCATCAAGCACGAGATAATTCACTTTCTCTAGAACAAATCTCCCATTACCCTCAAAAAATTAATATTCTTTTCATCTAAGCGATCGTGTAGCGCTACTTATTCAACGTACGAGGCAAGGACCGGGGAAGATCAAAAAGCTCAAGTTAGACGGGATTTCGAAACTGTAAATCTTGTCGGCATACGGAGGTAGTATTCAGTGCATAAATTTCTACTAACTGGAATACCCTTGAGGAAACTGAAATTCATGAATAAATTCCTGCCTTCAAAGGAGCGTCTCGTAGACAAGGCAGAGATCGATCTCGGGGAAGACCGGGGAAGGACCCGCGGGAAGAGACACGAGAGCTTTTATATGGCTTCATCAAAGCTTCATGAGCTTTCCCAGGGAATTACCCCGGGCGGGATGGGTTCATCGATTCCCCCTCGATATATCTGCCATTACTGAGATTGAGGTGACCTTTAACGCTCTGAAAGGAACGTTTTTGACTCATCACCTCTGATTGAATATCGCGATTCTATCTTCTTAGGCATCGGAATCGGAATCACTTTAGATCATAATTGACAGCGTGCAAGAAGAGATGCGAAGTTACGAGAAATCGATGGGAAATTCGCAGCTGGATGCACTGCATCTATTTGCATGAGGCA